ATGCATGGTGTGCGTACGTTCTCTGTTCCATTTCTCGACATTGGCCTTGTCGGTGGGTTGAAGCCAGCAGACAAAAGAGAACACTTGCGCAGGTGCTCGATAGAACAGGAGAGTGCGTCTCGGTGGGGGCTCCTGTCCTGTAATATTGTTGTTGAAATGAGTTATGTATCACTGCCGTCCTTTGGTGTCCTCCTTCTGAGCTTGAAGTGAAAACGTAGCTGTGGGTTCATCTCGTTCAATGAGGACGTCCATGTGTGCAATCGACGCTGCACTCCTACGAGTACAGCTGGGTCATGCGACGCAGTGTGCCAAGGAGCGACTAGAGCCGTAGGCACAGTGCACTAATGTTCAAAAACAGCACAGCTTCAGTGATGACGCCTGTTTAGGATGAGCTGCGTGTCGTAGGGGAGCGCCACGTCGCTGTACCGGTCATAGTAAGCACAATCTCTTGGCCGGTCGGGAGGGGCTGGTACACACTTGTAGGACTGCATCGGACTGTGCTTTTGCTGCACATGAGTGCTCTGACTATCTAGTCACTCCTTGGCGCACGACGTCGCTTCGGCCGCTGCGTCGCCAGGTCGGCGAACGGTGCGTCGAGCCATGTACTGTACTCGTCATTGGGCAGGCGTGCGATTTCTGCGTTGAACTTTACGTGCCTTTTTCTGCGCTTGGCCAATGAGAACGTAGCTGAGCCTTCATTTTGTCCAATCAAGTACTACACAGACAGAGGTGATAAAGAAACAGCATTGGTGTGCTTTCAACGGACAGTGCTCTGGAGCCTGCACGTTTTAGCGGACAGGGAACCAATGAAAAGCACTTTTGGCGAACGATGAAATTGCTCTTTGACTTTGCAGGATGGAGCGGACGTCGTCGACCCGAACGACGCTGGTCGAATTCAACGCCATGACGAGCTTCCTCCAGGTCCCAGACAACTTTGACATCCTCTCGGGCAAGGGGTCCAAGACCAAGCAACTGCGCAACGGTCAACGCCTCACGGTCCGCTATGGTAAAGTTGCGCTTGCCAAAACACTAATATTCGATATCTCGCTAGGTTACAAGCTTTTGGCAGATTATGTCAACCAGCTCCTCGCCAGCACGGGACGCCAGTGGACGGAAGCCAACGCCAAGAGTCG